CATTGTAGTCGACTACTGTTTTTCTGAACGTTTTAGGTTTCAATTTGAAACATTTTTAGCCGTTTATATCCATTTAATAAGTTCAAAAATGTGTCTTTTCAAGGGATATAAATAGGTTAGAAGTTCAAAATTTTGAACCACAAAAATATACAAATAAGATTGAATTTTTATGAAACTCATGTGAAAGAAAATCTGATTTTTACTTGAGTATTGAGAAAAACAATATTCTGCAACAACAATTGTTCATCTTCATTTATACAAGTTTTTGAAAAGAATTCATAGAACAAAAGAGTCTATAAGCCACTGTTGCACATCATAAACTTATCAAGGCTTATAGGAGATTTGTACATTGATTCAAGGAAAGGATTCTCTCAAGTGTGAGAGGTAACTTATCAAGGCTTATAGGAGATTTGTACATTGATTCAAGGAAAGGATTCTCTCAAGTGTGAGAGGTGTTATCTCTTGGTGAAGAGATTGGTTGCAATTTGCATGGTCTTGCAAATTGGTCAGGTTTGAGTTTTGATTTTATAAGTTTATTTAAAATCATAGTGGAAACTCTCAAGAGGGATTTGCTTGGGGACTGGATGTACACCTAGAAGGTGGAACCAGTATAAATCCTTGTGTTTGTATTGTTGATTTTCTTTGATTATCATTTTTTATTTGTAATTTATTATCTACTTTGCATAAAATTTTATAAAACACAATTCACCCCCTATCTAGTATTTTTAGTGTGATTAGATCAGATCCTACATTTGATATCAGAGCAAGGTTGAAGAAATAGCATCATCAACGGATTTAACTTCAAAATTTAAAGAAGGTCATTCAACAAATCGTCCTCCAATGTTCGACGGATTAAACTACAATTATTAGAAATGTCGGATGAGAATTTATCTCCAATCAATTGGCTACGAACTTTGGAACATTGTGGAAACTAAATATGAGAAGCCTATCACTCCCTTCACGGAATGGACAACATCTCAAAGAAATAATGCAAACTTGGACTATTTTGTGCTCTTGACAAGAATGAGTTCAATAGGGTGTCAACGGCCACATCCGCTTATGATATTTGGCACACACTTGAGGTAACTCTTGAAGGTACAAGTAAAGTTAAAGAATCTAAAATTTCTGTTCTTGTACACAGATTCGAATTACTTAGAATGAAGGAGAACGAGAACATTGGAGAAATGTTCACAAGATTCACCAACATCACAATTTCACATATTGGTCTTGGAAAAGAATTCACACAAGTGGAAATGGTGCAAAAGATCCTTCGTTCTCTTACTCCACAATGGGAAAAGAAAGTGACCGAAATAGAAGAAGCAAATGACTTGTCAACACTTTCGGTAGAAAACCTTATTGGAAATCTCATGGCCTACGAAGTCCAAATTGAAGATAGACAGAACTAAGATGAAACTAAGAACAAGAAAGTGTTTGCATTCAAAACTACTTCGGATAAAGAAGATTCGGATGATGATGAAGAAATGAGCATGTTTGAACGCAAATTTAGAAAATTCATAAAACGAGCTAAGTTTAAATCAAAGAATTTAAATTTAAATAACTTACTTTGTTTCAAGTGTAACAAACCAGGGCATATGAAGAAAAATTATCCATTGTTGAAAAATAAGCAAAAGTTAAATTACTTCAACAACTTCAATAATATTCAAAGCAACAAGAAAAGAAAAGCTTTGGCGACTACAATTTCAAGTGATGATTCATCTTCCGATGAAGAAATTGAAGAAAAGGAAAGTGCTCATATGTGTTTTATGACACAAGATGAAGTAAGTGATAATGAAGAATTTTTGATGCATTCAATGAATTATATGAAACTTTTTTGAGATTAAAAGCTTCACATAATTTTCTTAAAGGTGAAAATAAAAGATTACATGAAGAAGTTTCTGATTTTAATTCTTCCACTTATTTTAATTCTCAAATAATTGAATTAAAAGAGAAAAATGATTTATTACTTAAAGAAAATCATGTTTTGTTAAATAAGAATGTTTATCTAAAATCAGAATGCAATGATTTAAAAAATCGCATTAATGTTTTAGATAAAGATATTTCTTCTATTAAATTAAAATATGATGATATATGTTTGAATGTTAGTAAATTAAATAAAGGTAAAGAAAATCTTAAGAGTTTACTTTCATTTCAAAAAGAATCTCAAAAGACAAAAGGTTTGGGTTTTCATGTTAATAATAATTTTTCTAAGAAAACTATTTTTGTAAAACCAATTTGTAAGTTACATGAACATAATGTTAAAAATAATTCTTCATATGAAAAGAAATTAAAGTAATTATCTATTTGGATTCCTAAGGAATTATCTCCTTTAAAGAAAAAGCGTTATATTTCTAATTTTATTAAAAATGTTTGTTTATCAAATAACTTTTTAGGTAAATCAAACTCTTCATGGGTTTGGTTTCCTAAAGACTAATTTTATGGACCCAACATAGCATGGGTACCATGTAAGGACCATGAATATTTTTTTTTTGGTAAATGAAAACTTTTTATTCATCAACCATTGAGAAAATATGTACACCTCAAGAATACTCAGCAAATAAGTAGCTGAGAACTCAAAAAACTAAAAAAAACAGTTTCACTCCTCAAAAAGAAACCTGTCGAACCCTATTAGGGGGGTTATTGAACATGACTGTAGAGGCTTCAAACTTTATAACCTTGATCAAATGATCAGCACTGCTTATCTTCTGGGTAAACAACCTTGCATTTCTTTCTCTCCATATGCAGTAGATTGAAGCTGTTAATACCAATCTTCTAAGCTTAACCTGTAGAGATTTCCCTCTCATGCTTGAAAACCAGTCACAAACCTGATTCCAATTGCAAGACTTCTTCTTGAAATTCATCCAGTCCATGATTGAGTTCCAAATGTAGGAGGAAAAAGTACATTCGAAGATCAGATGATCACTCGATTCAGTGATTTGTCCAGTGCATAGACAACACCGGTTTGAACTGATTATACCTCTTTTTGGAGCCTATCTTGTGTGAGAAGCCTATTTTGAATCACTAGCCAGCTGATAAAAGAATGTTTGGGTACATTGAGACCACCCCACACAGTTTTATACCATGGCACTGAGATAGCAGCTGCTGACAGGTTCTTGTACAATATCGACAGAATTGGCTTTGAGTTCTTGCAGCTTGACATGATGAGAGTCTTAGTATTATCAGCACCTCCTAAAACCGCCATCACCTTGTTTCTAATTCTGAGTAATTGTTTCCACATCCATGAGTCTCCTGATCTAGCTTCAACCTGCCATATATCTTCATGTTTGAGATAATTTTCATGGATCCATTTAATCCAAAGAGATTCCTTGTTCGAATGAATGAACCATATGCTTCGTAAAGCAGAAGCTGAATTCCATAATTGAGCAGAATAAATCCCCAGGCCACCTTGTTTCATTCCTAAGCATACCTTATCCCAAGCTACAAGAGGCACTTTAGAAGAATGTTCATCTTTACCCCATAGGAATATCCTACATAATTCATCAATTTTGCGAAGAACTTTGACAGGAAGAATACAATTCGAAGTCCAGTAGATAATCACTCCAGAAATCACACTTTTTAATATTTGCAATCTCCCCGCATATGTCAGTGTTCTGCACTTTGTCCAGTTTTGCAGCTGCTTTGTAATCTTGTTAAACAGGGGAAGACAGTCATTGTATGATAATCTTTTCGTGATTAGAGGAACTCCCAGATACTTAATTGGCAATGATCCCTCTGTAAATCCCAGAATATTAGCTATTTCTCTTTTAACTGAGTCCTCAACACCTCCATAGAAGATTGAACATTTATCTGTATTAGCTTCCAGCCCAGACACTTCACCAAAGGATTTAAAGCACTGATAAAGCTTTTGCACTGAATAAGTTTCTCCTTTTGCAAATAATAATAAATCATCTGCAAAAATCAGATGGGAGATCTGAAGTTTCTTGCATTTAGGATGAAACTTAAAACCCCTGTCTTCCTTTAATTTGGTCAAACTCCTAGACAGATAATCCATTCCCAGGATGAAAAGATAGGGAGAGAGTGGGTCACCCTGTCTCAGCCCCCGTTCCCCCTTGAAGTAGCCATGTAGTCCACCATTGAATGAAATAGAATACTTGGGTGTTGTAATACAGACCATAATCCAGTGAATCATAACTTCAGGGAAGCCCAGACCAGTAAGAACAGATTGAATAAAGCTCCAGCTGATAGAATCGAATTCCTTTCTAATGTCAATATTGATCATGGCTCTAGGTGAAATATGTTTCCTGCTGTAGCTTTTAACAAACTCATGAGCTAGCATTGTGTTGCTAGTTATATTCCTCCCTTGAACAAAAGCACTTTGTGCTTCATTTACTAAGCTTCCCATTACAGATTTTATTCTATTTGCAATAATTTTTGATATGAATTTGTAAATGCAATTGCAACAAGAGATAGATCTAAAATCTGCTGGGGTTTTAGGACATTGTACCTTTGGAATAAGAGTTAATGAAGTTGAATTTATAGTCCCCAAGAGTTTTCCAGTCTTGAAAAAAATTTTAATGGCCAAAGTTACCTCAGCTCCGACAATTTTCCATGCTGATTTAAAGAACGAGACATTATATCCATCAGGTCCTGGTGATTTATCCTCAGACATAGAAAAGATTGCAGTCTTAATTTCCTCATTTGTGACTGGATTAGATAACATAATGATTTGAGAATCACTGAGACAAGGGCCAGCTTTGATTATATCCATATCAGCTGGAAGAGTGCTACTTGCTGTTCCCAAAAGATTTCTGTAGAATGTCACTAATTCTTCCACAATAGCATCACCATCAGTTAGCTTATCCCCCCTGCTGTTATATAGCACCACAATTCTGTTATTGTGCATATTTGATTTTGCTAAAGAATGAAAGAATCTGGTATTTCTATCCCCTTGCAAACTCCATGCAATCCTGGCTTTTTGCTTGTAGAATGATAATTCACAGTCAAGGAGTTTGTTATATAAGGAATAACATTCTTTTTCTTTCCTAATAAGATCCTGGTGATTTATCCTCAGACATAGAAAAGATTGCAGTCTTAATTTCCTCATTTGTGACTGGATTAGATAACATAATGATTTGAGAATCACTGAGACAAGGGCCAGCTTTGATTATATCCATATCAGCTGGAAGAGTGCTACTTGCTGTTCCCAAAAGATTTCTGTAGAATGTCACTAATTCTTCCACAATAGCATCACCATCAGTTAGCTTATCCCCCCTGCTGTTATATAGCACCACAATTCTGTTATTGTGCATATTTGATTTTGCTAAAGAATGAAAGAATCTGGTATTTCTATCCCCTTGCAAACTCCATGCAATCCTGGCTTTTTGCTTGTAGAATGATAATTCACAGTCAAGGAGTTTGTTATATAAGGAATAACATTCTTTTTCTTTCCTAATAAGATCACAGTTTAGAGGGTTTACTTGAAGATTTCCCTGAACCTCCTCTAAAGCAATTTTTGCTCCAAGCACTTGTTCACTTATATTGTAAAAGTGTTTCTTATTGAGATCCTTCAAAGCCCCTCTGAGTAATTTCAGCTTTGTATAAACAGAGAACATGGGATAACCTAGAATGAATTGGTGCCAGATCTTAGAGACTGTTGGAATATAGCTGTCATGATTTATCCACATTTTATAAAATCTGAAGGGTTTTTTCCCTTGAAAGGTGTCCTCATACACTGAAATTATACCTGGGGAGTGATCAGAAATTCCAGGCATCATAAACTCAACATGACTAGAGGTAAACTTATTGACCCAAGCATCATTTATCAGAGCCCTGTCCAGTCTGCTCCATACTCTAGCATCAGCTTCTTGCTTGTTAGTCCATGTAAAAAAACATCCTTGAGTTTTGAGATGGCTTAGAGCACATACTTCTATGCAGTTACGGAAATCACCTGTGTCAGTTTTAGTAGGAGCAACTCCTCCCAATTTTTCCTCAGGACTGATTATGGCATTGAAATCACCACACAATAGCCATGGTATATTGCCAATGTTTTGACTGATACTAGTAAGCTCATCCCATAGACTCTTCCTGGCCTCCAGTTGATTAAATCCATATATAGCTGAGATGACAGAATCCAATTTTCCATCCTTTGACTTGATTGAGCAGGAAATTTGTTGATCTGACATATTTATAATATGAATATCAAAGATATTTGGATCCCACAGAATGATTATCCTGGCTTTTCCAGCAGGCCTCACATTGGAATCCCACATCCAGTTATTTGCTAATTTTCTGACAACTTTTGAGATAGAACAGTCTTTGATCTTTGTTTCAAGGAGAGCTATGAAGGAGATATGATATTGCTTAATATGATTTCTCACTATTTGTTGTTTGGAAGACTTATTAAGTCCTCTCACATTCCAAAAAGAAAAATTCATAGAGAGTTTCCTCCTCTATCCAAAGTAGAGGAAATATTTATATTCCTATCCCCAAAAGGTGTCCTGGGTTTGCTTCTTTGTATAAGAGTCCAAGATTCATGGTGTGCATCTTGATGTGCATGTTTTCTGTTACCATATACAGGAGTTAAATTTTCTTTGCTTTTATATAACTGCTCTCCCTGTAAATCTTCTTCCTTATCATTAGGAAATCCATAAATGCTTGGCCTCATTACTATCAGGGGGTTATCCAACCTCATGCCGCCTTTGCTTGCTTCCAGGATATTACCTTCAAGAGTGTGTGCAAAACGTGCATAAGAGTGAAAAAAAACATCACCCTGAGGATTAACATGTTCAAGATCAGAAACATGCACAGGAGCAGATACTGGAACTTGCATACCAGGATCTACAGATTGAGCACCATTTTCCTCTCTTTTTGCACCCTGATTATGTTCAGAGACAGCAGAAACATCTACTGGAGTATGCTCAGGGGTTGGATTTCCAGGATCAGCAATTTTCTTAGGTACCCATTTTTGAACTGTAGCCTTCCTTCTACAAAAATTTGTTTCATGTCCAATCCTCTTGCAAATATCACACCACCTTGGTTTCAGCTCATAAATCACTTTTTGAACATATTTTTTGCCATTAGGCCCTTGAATGAAGACTTCATCAGGTAGTGGGGAGGGCATATGGACTTCAATTAACACCCTTGCATATGCAAGTCTTGTTTTGTTTGCAGTGAGCTTATCGGTTGTAATAGGTGTTCCTATCATGCTAGCAATTTTGCTAATGCATTTGGCATTCCACAGATTGAGCTTCAAACCTGGCAATTGAATCCAAACTGGATATACACAATCTTCTTTCATTTCTAAATCTTCATCAATATTCCAAGGCTTCAAGAGGATAGGTCTAGATCCAAAGAACCAAGGTCCTTTTTCCAATATAGATTTCATATCATCAACATTTTTAAATTTGAAAAGGAAAAACCCAGGTTTCAGAAGGCATACTTCAGGAGCAGCAAAATCCCCCCAAACCTTATTCACATAGGATTCCATAGCCTTGAATTTGACATTTAGTCCCATGACCTGACCAATAAGGGAAGTTTCCCACATGGTACTCCCTTCAAGCCATTCATCCTCTTCAAAGATTACTGAGTCTGTAATAACAGGTTTCACATAATTCAGATTAAAGCCGCTGCCAGATTTACGATTGTCAGCAAAAAGACTTGTAATAACAGGTTTCACATAATTCAGATTAAAGCCGCTGCCAGATTTACGATTGTCAGCAAAAAGACTTAGCCAGCTTTTTTTAGCCTCTTGTTCTGGTGGAGAATTCTTCTTAGGCTCATGCTGAGAATCAAGAATTTTTGCCTCTGAAGCCTTCTTAGACTCAAGAGGGGGAAAATCAAGATTCTTTTCCCCAGAATAACCCGCAACTAAACATTCTTGAGAGTTTTTAGCAACAGATTTTGAAATTCTAGGATTATTTCCAAAAGATTCCAATGGGACAGAGCAAGAAATCAAAGGCGAATTTAGATTCCTAGTGATTGGATCTAAAGCTTTATCAGTCATATTCAAAGAGAGATTTGGGGGTGTATTCATCAAATCTAGTTCATCAGCCCAAGAAATTCGTGAAGAGCTACTACCTCCATGGCTATGATTCAAGAAATTACCTCCCAATTTCAGATCAGAATTCGCCAAGAACTTCTTAGAATTGAGGATTTCCTCCATCATTATCTTCTTTTTCTCTCCATCATTATCTTCTTAGAATTGAGGACCATGAATATTGATACTAGTAAAAATATTTTTTTGTATTTTAAAATATTTAATTATTATTTTTAAAACAATATTTGTATTTTTTCAATTTTCTACGATTTAAAAACCCAATTTTATATTTGTTGATTTTGTTAATTATAAATTAATTAGTTACAGTGAAAATTTGTAAATTAATATTGTTGTATTATTGTTAATTTTATTATTGTTAGTGTTTATTTTTTCATAAGAATTTTCCCTAATTATTCAATTTGATCCTTAAGTATTTTCTTTTTAAGTTTAGTGTTAATACCTATTATTCTCTAACCCTAACCCTAATCCCTACCCTATAAATACCCCTCTCTCCTCTCCACGTTTTCCAACGCCGCCCATACCCTCTCTTACGTACAGCACCTCCTCTCCCTATCTCTCATCACCGTACCCTTCTCTCTCCTCTTCATCTCTCTTCAAGTTTTCCCCCTGACCTCCGAACCCAACGCCCAAACCACCACGCCTCTGCCTCCCTGGCCACCTCCGTCACCGCACCACCTCTCCCACGTCGTCCTCTTGCTTTCCCCTCTCGCCTTCGAGCCTGCCGCCTCCAAACACCGCCAGCTCCGACGACCTAGATCCACCCACGCTGCCTTGACCGCCGCCTCCTCCTGCACCTCTCCCCTGACCGCTGCGCGCCCAGCTCCGACCCCCCAAGCCCAACCCCCACGCCGTCGAGCCCTCGCCCAGCTGCCACCTGACCGCCTTCGACCGCCTCCTCGTCGCCGTTCGCAGCCCCACGCTCGCCTCCAGATCCACCTCAACCAGGCTCGTCGTCCTCCGCCTCCAACCACCTCGCCCCACCTCCGATCATCGCCCACGTCGCTGCCTCTCCCCCGTCGCCGACCACCGTCGAGCCCCACACGTTCAGAGCCGCCGCCTTGGCCTTCGACCAGCCCTCGACGTCGACAACCGCCACCTTGCCGCTGTCCTCCTTCCCCGTTGCCACAGTCCTCAGCGCCTGCCCACCTTCCGTTAACCTCCAGAGCCGTCGCCCTCCCTCGTCGTCGACAACTCGCCGGCGAACCTGCAGAACCCCTGTCCAGACCCGTTTAACCTCGTAACGCCGCTGCGTTAACCCAAGACAAGATCCCTCTTGCCGTTGTCTTGTTAATTTCATTTTTATCTCTTATGAATTTATCATGCGTATGTGCGTAGATTAGTTTGTGTTGATATGATTTTAATTGTGTAGTTGTTGATGATATCACGGTGGATATATGCTGTGAAATGATGCTATGAATGATGAATAAATATGTCAAAAATAGTTTATGGGTAATTTTGTGTTGTTTGAAAGGAAGAATATATTTATAGAGTATTTTTAGAATTATTTATAATGAGGAAAATATTTTAAAAGGAATTATTCCGAGAAAATAATTTACCTGGGATAAGGAGTATTTTTGAATAATTGTTATGACTGAAAGGATTTTATTTTAAGAAAAAGAGTATTTTAGATTATTTTATAAAATATCATAGAAATCATTTCTAAAATTAAAAGTATTACTGTTTATAAAGAATAATAAAATATATTTTAAGAAGGTTATTCTAGAATTTTATAATGAGAGATAATTTTTAAAGGAAATTATTCTTGGAATTAATAAAGGAGAAAATTTTTAAAGGAAAATATTCTTGGAATTTTATAATGGTAGTTTCATCTTGCATTGTTAATAGTAGCTTTACTTTCGTATGTTTCTTGCATGTGATCACGACCCCTTGTTCACACTTTATGACTTTGATGCTTAGCGTAATTACGTTTATTATTCCATGTTAAGAATCATGAGAAGTACCTGACTATAGTGACCTGTATGACATAGTGAGGATCTAGAATCTCGTGTATAGTTGACTTGGAATTACGAGAATTAAGGTGAGAATTCTTGGTCCATGTGAGCGGTTATGATTATTGATTGTTTTCCAGGCTCGCGCCAGTGCCTTGTTTCGACCTGGGGTGGGTCTGAGGTATCGTGATATGTGATTGTTGATGTATTTTCCAGGCTCGCGCCAGCGTCTTGTTTCGGCCTGGGGTGGGTCTGAGGTGAGGTGATATCGAGATTATTATTTATTTTCCAGGCTCGCGCCAGCGCCTTGTTTCGGCCTGGGGTGGGTCTGAGGAGCAGGGATATTGAGATTGTTGATTATTTGAGATGAGTGATGTGATAGTTAGTTACATGACATCGATTCTTGGCTAAGTATGATCCTTGTGAGATATAGGCCGGTTGTACTCCTTTTCATACATAGATCGGGATTAGTATTTAATTATCTATAATTTGGGACATATGGTATATACATGAGGGTTTCCTTGTTTGGATTATTTTGCTCGACGTACTACGTCTCGAGTTGTAGATTTTTAAGTGTTAATTTCATCTATTGTATGACCTTGTTGTTAGACCCTAGAGGGGGGGTGATTAGGGTCTTATGCTAATCTAATCCGATTTTATGCCAATTAAAATATATTAACAAGTTATCCTAGCAAGTATGAAATACAACAATGTATATGAGCTAGGATAAGCAATATGAACAACAAGATATATCCTAACAAAGAGATATAGGCAATGTATGTGCAAGGATATATAAACTCAAGGGTAAACAATCTAAACTAGATAGTGGGCAATATAATCAACAAGCAATATACAAAGACGATATAAGATATGAACATAAAAGTAAGTGCGCCAATACAATCACAAACAAACAATATGATTACGGAGTTCGGTCCCCACGACCTACGTCTCCGCTCCTCACCTCGAGGAGATCTCCACTATCACAACCGGGTTTTCTACGTTCACCCGAACAACGTTTACACCTCACAATACAATCACTATGTAATCACACCTCACACACTAAGTGTTGGTCCTAGCCCGTGTCCTCCTCCTCAAGTGCTCGGTTACAACCTCTCCCTAGGCACGTCAACCGACGCCACTCCTCTTGGATTCGACCCCGTCTCTCACCACACACTTCTCTCGGTGTACAAGTGTATTACAAGTGAATCCTCACAATTAGGCTCAATACAAAGTGTTTGTTCTCTACAATGAATGAGAACGAATT